TGAAGTCTTTAGATTTCATTCCACGGACATAGAGCGTAGCTAGAGGAATTTTGTAAACGGGATATTTTGTTTGTTAGAATTGAAAATCGCGATCTCAAGACTGCCCTGCAAGGGGAAAATAAAGAACAACACTAAATATCAATTCCTATATTGTTGATAATTGTAGAATTTTTGAAAGGTTTAATCGGTCACTTCATTGTCGGTATGATAGTCCCAAAAGCGTTTTTCGATTGTTCTAGTTGAGGTTTTGAATATGAGGACCGCATGGCACTATKATAAACATGAGGGTTGACAAGTTTTTCAATGAATTTAACAACAATGTAAAAACTCGTTTTGGGATTGTGACGATTATATGTGGGTATTTTAAAAAGTCAACGCATGTCCATAAAGAACAAGGGGAATTCGAAGGATTTTGTTCTAATTTTTTTTGGCCTAGCTTCTGCTGCCTTGAAAAAAATAAATGAATGATCACTATTCAAGTCACAACTATATGGAAGGGTTGTTTTTTTTATTGGTCGAAAGGTGCCACTTTTCGGCATGAAACAATTTTTACTGAAATCTAATTGGTTGAGAGCACGGTGTTGARAGTGCGTGATTAATTCATGATGTGCAGTTTTTTGTTGCTTTTAATTTTTCTATGATGTCAAGATGACATCATATCTTCAGAATGACGTCAATTGATCTAATTTTAACGATTGTTTTTTGTTTGTTTTTTTTTTGACAGTGAAACGTCCGTGACCTAAAATCGAAAAAAAACTTTTTCGCAGTGTATTTGCTATTTCGTTTCAAACCATTGTGGACAGGTTTGATAATTACTTTCACAAAGTTTAATCTAAARCTATGCAGGCAGTCGAGACTTTATGGGGGAGGGGTCGATGTCTTGAAACCTAGACTTTAGGGAAAACAAATTCTCAAAACAAGAATGCTGCAAGATTTATGTCCAAATTTTATATCATCCCATGATGCATTTTGTTCGTACATTGGAGTTTGTAATTTTTTCATCAACAGAGGGCTGAGTACGTTCTATCAAAGAGGTTTCCAAACGAAGTAGACTTTTTTCAGGGGGAATATATACATATTTTGACGCTAGAAATTGATGTGGAAATGAGTGTTTCTACGTTCCTTCAAACGCAAATTGTGGCATTCGTTTCAAAGCAGAGTACAGTTTTATGTCTTTTTTTCCTCATTGCAAAATTCTTTAAACTGTAATATCGACACTATCTACTAGTTAGTTCGTACGAGCAATTTCAGGATATAACTTACAATTTTCTATTTTGAAAGGCGCCGACCACGGCACTTTGGGAACGACGTACTAAAAGGAGGTCTCAAAGGCCAGCCTCCATATAGTGAGCTTCCACGGTGTTTTTGTTTTGCTATAAAATATCAATGCGTCTTTTAAACGTTCTTACACTGCCACACATGAGATCTTCTCGTTTCCATGATTCGTCTCCGAACGGTCGTGAAATTCCGCCATTTTTGAAAGCTGCCACGAATCGGTCACATGGTACTAAATTGTAGCCCGTCAAGCTTGGTTTTTCTTTGTTTGAACATCCAGTGGGTATTTTGTGGGTATGCAGAATGGCGGATTTACTACCATGTAACCGTTTCATGCAAAAGTCGTATCATGGAGAATTGTTTACATCAGTGCTGCATGACCAAGAGGGTTTGTAAACATTTCTTGCAATTTTCGAAGGGTTGATCATACGAAGATTCATAGACTTAGGAGCACCCAAGGTTTATCCAAAGTTTAATCAAAATAACGCTCTGCGTATAAAATACATTTTAAGAAATCATTAATCTATTTACAATTATTATGTACAAATGGAGTTCATTTTTTAACGTCAAAAAACTGCTTCAGATGATGGYGAGATCCCGTTTTCTCACGCTATCATCCCAGTTAGTTGTGTGATCCTTGCTACAAGATTTCTCCATTATCTGCACACAGACTTTCTCCCGTAAACATGTATTATTATTCTGTGTGTYTTCTAACGTACACTCTAGTTCGCTCACACGTTCCTTCAAAGCTTCGTACATTTTGAAAACCTCATTTTTATCCCGTTTCTGGTTCTCAATTTCTTCATATAACTCAGCTGAGGTAAATTTGAGTGAGCTGATTTCGTTTTGAAGTTCGTCTTCTTCGTGTGTCTTCGTGCAGACGCGTTGACGAAGATTGTCGATCTCTTTTCGAGCAGATTTACATTCGTTTATCAAATGCTGCACTTTATTTTTGTGTCCCGTTTTTTCTTTTGACATTTGATGTTCAAGTACCGATATTTGTATTTTCAATTCACGGTTTTCGTAGTGTAATGGGTTTTCCTGATTTTGTTCTTTCTTGATTTCGCCCAATTTCGAAATTTTAACTGCTTTTTCGAGTTTTTCTTTGAGTTTTTTGTTCAGTCTCTTTAGATTCGTGTTTTTGTCATTTATTTCAGACATCTTTTCTTTGATTTCGTCGAGTTCTTGTTTTAATTCTTTGTTTCTTGTGTCTCCCTSTATGATTCTGGGAAGCTCTAAATTTCGCCAGAAAGAATGAAAATATAACAAATAAGGGAAACGTAGGGAAACGAAGGGATACTATCGCTAAGCAATTATCTGGTTTGAATAGCTATTCCGCCTATAAGCTTCATAACTCATGCTAGATATAAATGCATGTTATTTGTTTATTTCGTCAAATAAACTCCTTCATCTTGGAAAACGTATCCTCTCTGGTTACTGACTGATCTTGTATCAGAGATAGAATACTTGGAGACGATATCGGCGTTTACTGTTCTACAATTGCACCGTAGATTCGCAACTTACCCTTCAGTCCTCTCCACYGCTCAGCCCTAATACACTTCCCACAACCCCAACCACTAACTCCCCCTCCCACCTACAACGTTGTTGTTCGTGATCGATGRCATCATCACACGCAAAATAAAAACAGTATACAAAACAACATRTTGGACAACATCTACCATGTCTGCACTGTTCTTTGCCTCTGTCCCGTGGAAATAAAATGTGCATGAATGAATGCATTGTTATGTCTATGAGATACGGGGGTTATGCAAAAATAGAAAGGATTTCTTACCTTTAAGCTGTGTAATTCTCAACTGGAGTTCTGCTTCTCTTGCAAGGCGTTCATTTTTACATTGAATGARATCGTCGTTCTTTTGAGACATTTTTGTCTGTAATCGTTCAATTTCTATTCTWAGCCTTCTTGCTTCTTCGAGGGCATTGTGTCTGGCTTCTGTGAGGTCATGGGTTTGAGTTTCKAGTCGAAGATTTGTGTTCTTCAGATCAGAGATTTCATCCTGAATTGCTCTAACTTGGCATTGATGCTTTCGCTGTAGAAATTACACATATTGTTACTTTAAAGGATTTCCAAATTAAATATGGTTTTCAACGTAATCATATGATAAGAAGATAGATTAATGTTTGAATATTTTTCTCATCTCCACTCATATCAACTGCGAATGAAGCCTAAGAGAGATGATAGACTACTAGTTCAACAACACCTTTGATTTCCGTGATGCTGTGAAGTTGTTTTTATAGATAATTATACTCTATGTGGGTTATTATATTTACATAATAATCCAATCATTTACCTTTTCTGATAGAAGTTCTTCTTTAAGCTCTCTGGCAACCTTTTCCGTGTCCCTCAAGTCCGCKTGCACCTCGGAATKTTCCTTGGTCATCGTCCGTAGTTCCCTCCTCAAGCTCTCTCTATAGGTTTCCTGAGTTTCTTCCATTCGCAAAAGCCTGTCTTCTGATGCCTTAAGCTTTTCTTTTAGACTATTCTCCAGAACTTTAGAATTGTTGAGACTATCAGATTGTAATTGGATGCGACTCTCGTTTTCTTGGAGACGRCGTAGCAAAGCGTTTGCGCAGTCTTCTTTATCGAGTAATCGTTTTTTCAAATCGTCCYTCTCTTGCACCGATCTCCTTATTGTCTCCTCTGAATTGAGGATACAATCATYGACTTCTCTTTCGAATTGTTCCTTTTCGATGAGCACATTTTGTAGTTTATCYCTTAATTCTTTCTCAATGGCTACTTTTTCCTGTAAGCAGCGTTCAGTTTCTTCTAACGATATAGACTGTTGAGCATTAATTGTCTCGAAGCTCTGTATCTCTTCCATTGTATCTTGTAAACATGCCTCAAGCTCGCGAATCTTTTCATTTAGGAGTCTTTGAGCGGTTTCTGCTTCCATTCGTACTTCATTTATGATGTTATCTGAAGTTTTAAGCTGAAGATCAAGAACTTGATTCTGCTCTTGCAATTGATAGACAGTTTGAACAGCATTGTTGAGTGACTCTTGAACGTGTTCTTTATCCTTGATAACTGCTTGTAAAGCGTCACSTTTATAATTGCKTTCAAGAAGCTGAGACTCCAATTTCGTGATGGCCGCACTTTGTTCCTTGATTCTCTTCTTCAAAGTGAGCTCAGAAATAGTTCTCTCTTCAAGGCATGCTTTGATAATGTCGACACTTTCTTTCACGTCTCCTACGTCAATGTACCTCAGCTCTTCCTCTTGGCTCTGTAGCTTTCTAGAAAGATGTTTTAGACTCTTCATGTGTCTTGAATAACCTTCTAACTTTTCCGTGATTTTTGCTATCTTATCCTTTGATTTGTTGAACAGCTTTTTATATTTGGCCTTCAGTTCAGGGTTATAATCAATTTTGTGTTTTTCTTCTCTGTGCTGCTTGACTATTTCCTCTGTTTTCTTGATTTCTTCATCTAGAATTGCTTCCAATTCATCTCGTTTCCTATTGGCTGCAATGAAGTCCTCATTTGATTTAAGACTTCYGATTAACCAATCAACTTTGGCATTGTAGCGATTTCTCTCGGAGTTCATTTCTGAGATTTGTTTCTTATGAAAAATGCATTGTTTGCATGGTTTGTGCTGACTATCTTTGTCCTCATCATCTTTAAACCTATTCATTTTTTCCTCATATTCAGATCCTRCTGCGCCCATTTCCATTATRATTTTGTTGTCACCATTTATTTTTTCATAATGAAGTGTCTTCMTTTTAAGCTCTTCCTTAACCTCCATCAATTGTGATTTCARAATAACTTGCTTCTCCTTGAGCGAGTTGTTTGACTTTCTAAGTACCGATAGTTCTAAATCTTTAGTTACTATGTCATCTTCTATTTCACGTTTATCCTCGTGAAGTCCGTCTATTCTCTTCTGTACCAAAGACAATTGCTGTTCCAATTCAGAAACATAGTCTAGTAATTCTTGATTCTTAGAAACCTGCAACTTGAGAGTCTTTTCCAAATCTAGTTCCTTTTTATCGTGATTCTCTGCGCATTTCTGTTTCAACTCGACGTCTCTCARTTTCTYTTCCAAGTTTTCTTTTTCTTCTTSGAGAATCTTATTGCAACTATCAAGTTCGGTTACCTTATTAATTTCCAAGATAATTGCCTTCGCTTCTAATTCTGTCTTCGCGTCATTAATGTTCGATTGGTTTTTATCTTTCATCAACTTTACCAATTTTTCTTTTTCTTCCATGAGAATCTTGTTGTGTTTGTCAAGCTCGTTTACCTTGTTTTCCAAAGCAAGTAGTTTAGCATTGTATATTTGTTTTAAATCATWGATTTTTGATTGACTCTCGTCTTTCAATGTCTTTTCCAATTTTTCGCTCTCTTCTTTACGCAACTTGCTGTCTTTACCGAASTTGGACAATGCATTTTCCAAAGTGGCTATTTTAGCAATATATTCCTCCTTYACATCATCGTTGATTTTAAGTTCATTTGCGGMATCCAATTTCTTTTCCAACTGTTCTTTTTCTTCTTGGAGAATCTTATTGCAATTTTCAAGCTCGGTCACAGTATTTTCCAATATATGTAGCTTGTTATTGTACACTTCCTTTACGTCGTCGTTGACTTGCAATTTACTCGCGGCATCCAATTTCTTTTCCAAATCAATTTTTTCTTCTTGAAGTATCCTGTTGCAATTTTCAAGCTCTTTCACTGTGTTTTCCAATATGTTCAGTTTGTCATCGTAACCTTTCTTTTCATCATTGCTGATTTTCAATTGATTTAAGCATTCCAATTTCTTGGCCAACTCTTCGTTTTCTTCTTGGAGTAGCTTGTTTTGTTTTTCAAGCTCTGCCAAAGTGCTTTCTAATATCGCTAGTTTGTCAATGTATTCTTTCGTTACATCATTGTTTTGTTTTTGCATCTTTTCTTTTCCCTCCGTTAGCTGCATGTTCTGATTCTCAAGGTCGGTTAGACTCTTTTTCAAGCCCATCAGTTCAGCGTTAAGATGTTTCTTTACATCATTAAATTTAATTTGACCATCCTCCAATTTCTTATTCATCATTTCTTTTTCTTCCAGAATATCTTTCTTTTGTTTCTCAAGCTCGGACACAGTTCTCTCCAATTCAATCAGCTTTGCATTTAGATCGCAYCTAGCGCTATTGACTTCCATATCATCAACTTCCATTTCCTTTTCCAACTTTTCTTTCTCTTCTTGAAGAAGCTTSTTGCGTTTTTCAAGTGCACTCACAATGTTTCCCAAAGTGGCTAGTTTTGTTTGRTCTTCTTYCTGGGCGTCATTGATCTTCAAATGGATATCATCYTCATATTTCTTTTTGAGTTGATCCTTTTCTAATTCAAGTATCTTGATTTGTTTGTTAAGCTCGGTCACAAWATKTTCCAAAGTATTTATTTTTGCATTGTARTCCTTCTTTACGTCTTTGATTTGCAAATCCTTCTCATTTTCAAATTTCTTTAACAGTTTGTCTTTTTCTTCCAGAAGCTGCTTGTTTTGTTCTTTAAGTTTGATCACATTGCTCTCCAAATCGATTAATTTATCAGTAAGGACATTCTTGGAACCATTATCTTTGGACTTTGTATCAAATTCCAACTGATTTTCCAATATTCCTTTTTCTTCAAGAAGATGATTGATGCGTTTGTTTAGACTGGTCACAGTGTGCTCCAAATCCTTTACTTTGGCATCGAAACTATCTTTTTTGTCATTAACTTGATCTTCCAAATTTTTTTCCAACTTTTCTTTTTCTTCCAGAAGCTGCTCGATGCGTTTGTTAAGCTTCGTCACAGTGTTTTCCAAAATCATTACTTTGACATTGAAATCATTGTTGGTATCACTGACCTTTATCTGTTGATCCTTCAGTTCCTTTTCCAACTTTTCTTTTCCTTCCAGAAGCTGTTCGATGCGTTTGTTGAGCTTGGCTACAGTGTTTTCCAAAACCATTACTTTGACATTGAAATCATTGTTGATATCACTGACTTGCATCTGATAATMTTTCAGTGCCTTTTCCAGCTTTTCCTTTTCTTCCTGAASCTGCTCRATGCGTTTGTTAAGCTCAGTCACAGTGTTTTCCAAGTCCATTACTTTAACATTAAAATCATTGTTGGTATCACTGAATTGCACCTGATGATTTTTTAGTTCCTTTTCTAGCTTTTTCTTTTCTTTAATAAGTTGCATGCTACKTTTGTCAAGCTCTTTCGCATTGTTTTCCATAGTGTTTATTTTGGCACTGCATTCTTTTTTCACGACATTTATTTCCAACTGCTYCTCATCTGCCATTTTCTTTTTCATCTTTTCCTTCTCTTCATGAAGTAGCTTGTTGTGTTGTTCAAGCTCGTTGATATTCTTTTCAAAAAGGATAAGTTTGTCATTGAGATGTTTCTTTACTTCATTGAATACCATTTGATCATCTTCAGATTTCWTTTTCAACTTTTCATTTTCGTCTTCAAGAAGCTTGTTGTGTTGTTCAAGATTATCTTTTGCCTTTTCCATATTGATAAGTTGGGCGCTGAAAGTTTTCCTCACGTCATTAAGTTGCATTTCCCCGTGTTCCAATGTCTTTACCAATTTTTGTTTTTCATTCTCAATAACAACGTTGAGTTTGTTCAGCTCCATTACCTTGCTTTCCAAAGATTTTATATCGGCATTGTAMTGYMTTTTGGCTTCATTGATTTGGGACGGTATATCCAATTGCAATTTYTTTTCCAATTTCTGCTTTTCTTCGTTTAGTAATACGTTTTGTTTTTCAARATCGGTTAAAGAATTTCCCARAACAAATAGTTGAGCATTGTAWTCTTTTTTTAACTCGTTGATTTCCAATTCYTTATCAAATTCCAGTTGCTGGATCAAGYTTTCTTTGTCTTCCTGGTGTATYTTCTTATACTTGTCAAGCTCGGTCATAGTGTCTTTCAAAGTGTTTATTTTTGCATTTTTCATTTCAATCTGGTCATTGGCTCGCTCCATCGCTGTCTTCATGCGCAYAATTTCGTTCTCTTTGTCCTTTGACTCTTTCTCGTAGGCAGTAACCTTCACTTTGAGTTCTTTTGACTCTTTCTCAAAAGCAGAACGCTCTGCTAAACATGACGCAATATCGATATCACGTTGCTTCATATTCTCGTTTGCTTGTTTTAAATCGTTTTTGCATGCCTTGAGATTTTGAGYTAAGACTGTGTAGTTTTCCTGGGCGATTTTGTCTTTAGCTTTTAACTCTCTTATATTCATTTTCATATCTTTTGAAAAATCCTCTAATCTTTTGATTTCGCACTGCAGTCGCTCAATWCTTTGGTCCTTCTTGGTAATAAGATTGTCTCTTTCTATTTGATGAACATTCAGTCTGTCTTCCATGATCTTCATTTCTGATTCTCTTTTGAGAAGGTCTTCTTTAGCTTTATCCAATGTGTTYTTCAGCTCTTTATAGCTCATTTCTTTACTTGCACTATCTGACTTTTCACTTTGAMGCTSTGTCAGTTTACTYTCATTGAAATGAAATTCTCTMTTTCGTAGYTCRTCATTTGCCTTCGCCAACGCGTTCTCAAGCTCTTTATAACTGCTCATAATACTTTTGATTTGTTCTTGTAAGTCAGCAATTTGCTCKAGATACTTGCTGTCGCATCCTGAACGAATTTCCTGATCGTGTTGTCTCTTGAGTTCTTTCATTTTCTTCCTCTGTTCAGCAAGCTCATCGCATATGCTTTTATTCTCGTTCTCTAAAAGTGCAACGTATTCTTTAAGGTCATCTAGTTGAGTGTCTTTTTKCACTTTCTTCTCGGGTTTTTGACGCAAGGATTCAAGTTCGCGTTTAAGAGATACGTTCTCTTCTTCGATTTCTTTGTTCAGAGCGTTTATCTTTGCCACTTTTTCATCCATCGTACGTTTGAGTTTGGTCAATTCTCGATCTTTGTATCCAGTTATTCTATCAATTTCGCGTTTTTTCTCAGCAAGTTCTTTCTCCAGCTCTTCAATTTCAGCTTCAAGCTTTTCGTTMTGAGAATATTGACCATTCAGAAAACATTCCAAAGTTTGGACTTTTGYTTTTTCGTCGTCCAAATCAAGCTGTAGCTCAGACATTTGGCTGGTTAACTCATTGATATTTTCGATATTGTTGGYAGGCATTGCTTCTRATGAAGTCATCTCGATTCTAGCTTTRTTTCTGCGAATCTCCTCAAAAAGGTCTTCCATTAAACCATTCAGTGAGCTAATGAGGGACTTAACTTCAGTGTCTTGTCCAGATTTTATTTTGATATCAGGAATGAAGTCAACATCACAAGCATYTCCTAATTCATCCGAGAGAGAGCCTGAAGAGGGACTGTTTAGCTTAGCATCAAAATTGTCAGCTAGCATCTTCTTTGCGTCCAGAATTTGCTCATTGAATTTGCGGAGGTCTCTGCTAATCTCCGAGAACACAAGRCTGTTCTCATAGCATCTGCATTGTTCTTTATCTTCATCCATTTTATCATCKGGATTCTTTCTTTGTGATGGCTTTTTRTTGTCATTTGGGTCCTCACCCGACCCCCCTGAGATATAGATGATGATTTAACAATTCATWATAGCAAACAATAAATGATAATGATTGGAGTGGCTACCAATTTTTGACGWTGCTACTATTCATTGACATAAACCAATCACAGTGTGCGTTYTATTTTGATGATATGACGAATAATCATGAATATTGATTATAAAACGTTYGAGATATAACGCACGTTCTCATTGGCTGTTGACCGTGTTTATATAAGAGTTTATTTTATTTCTATAATAACGCTATTTRCACTGTAATCCTACATCCCAAATTATCCGAGCACCCTTGCATTATATTTAAGGAATTGATGCATTTTCTTATTTTCATTGCTGCTAATTTGATGCAGGAGATAAAAAAAAGGAAATAAAGCAACTTGTGAAAATCCATGCAGTTATGGTTGCCATATTTCAACTGATTTTTCTAAACACAAGGTATCACTGACGGAGTATATTCAAACGTTCACATYAAGATTTCTGATAGATAATGCATTTGCAGGCTGTAGATGCCACTGAATTATAAAAGTGCATTCACTGATACCTTGCAATCTTTGTGGTGTACTAAGAACTTGAATTCTTCGCAAAAAGCTAGGTAGATTCTGTTGTTTATACATGTATATAGCACACACAAACTATACATACTCTTTCTTACCATTTCCTTTGTTCTTTCCATTCGCATTAGACGACACATTCCCGCGTCCGGTAGCAGTCGATTTACTGGATTTGTCACGTGATTTTTCTTTAGATTCGGTCGATTGATTTTGTTTTCCAGTTTCATTAGAGGCCTTTACGATRCCTTTTATTTCTRCTTTTYCTTTTGGTTTCTAAACAATACATCGAAACATTTTCAGTTAAGACAAAAATGATGACACAATGTCAGCAATATCACTGGCTGTCATACTGTRCTTTCATTGCTTCGCCGTGCTTGATAAAGAACATTCCTTTATATCGCTTATATGACATTGCATTGATTYAGCTAACATTTTTATTTCCATGAAATATTAACTTCACTTCAATTTTAGAGCGAATTAACTCCTTCCTGTCTGACTATGCAAATTTAGGACTTGTACGACCTATGCTTTTAAAAATCATAACTTCTCAAAATCATGCGACATGAATCTAAAACATTATCCAACAAGACAYCTAGTAAAGACATAGACACTCAACTTTCGCTATAACGGACGCCCTTGGGACCGTAATTTAATTCAGTAGCGAGAGTCCGTAGTAACGAGAGTTACTTTCAGTCATTTCTTTGTATTTTTCGACGGGGATTCAGTATTTTACTGTCCGCAATATCGGGGTGTCCGTTGCAATGGGTTGTCCGTAAGGCGAGAGTTGACTGTAATATAGAATAAATATTGAACCACTTTAAATCTTAAAGCAATCTGTTCTTCAAATTGTAACTCTTAATAAACTAAATGTCATTACACCACCTCACCACACCATAACACAAACTTAAATAGTACAGAATAACTATACTAAATTTTGCTAATTCTTTTGTTTCCTATTGTCAGTGTATTGTTTAATGAAGAATATTTATAGTAATTAGTACTATTTGACTAACGGATTAGTGCGTTCAGTTCACGTCTATGTACTGYTTGCATTCTGTGATTCCATATCTTACCTTTTTCGGAGTATCCTCATGCGTCCACGATGACTGGCTATCAGAGTCATCACTTGATGAACAAAAGCTCGATGAATAATCATAAGGTGTTTTACCACGGTCAGCATCTTTGCCTGGACTGCTTGATCTTGAACGGGAACAGGATCTTGAACGGGAACAAGATCTTGAACGCGAGGACGAAGAATTGCTGTGCGACCGTGAATGGCTACTTCGCGAAGATTGCGAAAGCATACTTGGACGGSATTTTGATTTTGAAGGTGAAGGTGATCTTGAACGGGATTTTGATGCTGAACGCGAAGGTGCTCTTGATCTTGAACCTGAGTGATGGTTTGAACGGGATTTTGTACGGGATCTTGAAAGGGATCTTGACGATGAATCGCGGGATCGTGATGSTGAACGAGATCTTGGTCTTGAGGTATTGTCCCGCTTGGTTTCTTTCTTAACTTTTTTACGGCTAACCGCATCATCTTCTGAGATTTTACGACTGTTAAGTTTCTCGRAAGGAGAACGGTCCTGAGTCGTGATAGCATCCATGTTTTTTGGCTGTTGTTTTRCTTCTGCGACGGCAACGTCTGGTTTGCAATGCAGATTCACCACAGATGCCATAACATGTTTGTTACAAAACGACGTATATTCTMTGAATGAAAATTAGTTCCAAAAGTAGAATTTTGAGAGATAAAGAAAATTAGCTCCTTCTCTCATAGCTACTAAGGTAATTTAAGTAATTCCC